TGATGACTGGTATGTATATTGCAACTGAGTAACTGAGTGCTTAGAGCTAATAGATGCATGGTAGATGTTCATTTGGCCTATTTCTAAAAAAATAATATGAATTCAAATATTCAGATGCAACTTTAATTTTGATATAAAAAGTAACATTTAAAATCAGTTGTTTTATTATTTTGAACGTTATTTCTTCATAAAATATTTGTAAAGGCGCGGATGAATACTCACTATATAGATCATTGGTTAAGGCCTGTCAAAGTTGTCTGTGTGCTGCAAATGTTTGCGTATCACTAATTTTATTCAATTGAAGTCCATGGTAGTGTTTGTTGAGATTTGAATGCTTGAATTGTTGTGGGAAATAACACAAAGGCTGATAAATAAAATGAGTTTGCATTATTTCATCGATGCACTCACTGTTTTCTGACGTAGAAAATACCATGGCAATATACCATTTTTAATGACGTTTTTCACGCTATATTCCAAAGTGACAATTCGTCTTGTAGATGAAGACTCAACAAATGTTGATATTATAAACTAATAATCACTACAAAATATGTGCTAGTTAAAAATATTCAGTTGTAAACGACCGTTTTTGAACGAAGGTGCAACAGGATAACTCTTTAGCTTGGCTCCGTCTCTACATGTCAGTAGTTGTCGCACTGCGCATTGATCCGGGAACCAGACCGGAAGCGACAGTTTGGACCGTCGCTTATATCATTTCAAAAGAAGAGTTATTGCCCTTTGGAACAAAAAGATCGCCCATTGGAAGCCAGTGGATGACTAATGAACACAGAGTCAACAAGCAGACTGATAGAGTATAGGGGCAGCAGGATCCTGCCAGCAATGTACAGAGACCAAGGCTACTACATCCCGCCTGCTTACCATCACCTAACTGCCAAATCCCTATGTCCATCCAATTAATCTACTGGCTTCCATCATCTCTATCAGTCTGCTTAGAATAAATAAGTCTTGTGTACATTGAACAATCGGAAGGGGTGCAAATATTCGCAAATATTGCCGTGGGGGCTTATTAGGGCGGGGCGCTTATTACGTCGAATACGGTAACTATTGTTATGTGGGTTACTGCTGACTGAACTATTCACGTATGGCAAAGGTTGCTGCAAGTTCAGCCAGCAGAGCTCCTAGTCTATTAATCACAAAGTATAAACTTTTAGGAGGGATGGCCTATCATTCTTTTACATGTGACACAATGGTGTGGTCGGTCATTCAATATGGGTCATGCATTTGGGGTACCCAAGACTCATCAAGCTTCAATTGTGCCATTTGATTTTATTAAGGCCTATGGAAATTTACACCAAATATGGCTGTTAATGGTAATGTAATTTGGATCCCTCCAATTGTCCGTCAATGGGAAATGTTGTTAGATATTATGAACGTTTCTCTAATCTAACCATGCTAACCCAAGATCGAATCCCCCAGAAAATCTTTGATTGGAGAATAACTGGGCTACCAGAAGAAAACGAAATTTATACTTCAGGATACATAAAAAGCTCAGAGATCTTGGTTTAGAGCATTATCCCCCCTGAAAACAATTTTAACATATATTTTATTACACAAGTACAACATGTGCTATTTGACATGTTTGATAGATTTAAAATTGACTGGAAACATGCTATTTTGCAACCACAGAGTGCTTCAGGAAAGGGAGGTAAAAAGCAAAGACTGTATTGGCCTTTTTATGAACAGTCCCAATAAACAGAGCATGGTCGATTCAGTAATAAGCCAGTAGACGAGAGATTGGTTGGTTGGTTGTTGTTTAACGCCGCACTCAGCAATATTCCAGACAATCCAGTGATTAACATCATGAGAATCGATCCACGCAACTGGGATACGATGACATGCATCAACCAAGTCAGCGAGCCTGACCACCCAATCCTGTTAGTCGCCTTTTACAACAAGAAAGTTTTAACTGCGATAATGTTGTTGAAGATGAATGCCATGTACTTTTAAATTGTCCTATGTACACTGAGCATTTTAAACTTTAAGAAGAATGTTGTGATAGCCTTTATATTATCAAGCAATGTTTCATGTTCTTTGACAGCCAAAACCTGCCATAACATTTTACAAAATAGGAAATTTATCTCATATAAATGTATATAAATATTAAGTTGCGTGTGTGTGTGTGTGTGTGTGTGCATTTTACAGTCTCTCCATATAGAGTCACCCTTCCTGTTCTATGTTGTATATGTATCTTACTGTATTTTATTGGGGGTGTGACTTAAAAAATTATGTCTGTTTGGTATTACCTCTCATGTTTTTAAAGGAAAGTACAAATGGTTGATATATATATTCAAAATACACAAAGACGTTAATAGATGGTACTGCCTGGTGCTAGACAATAAGGGGCTAAAACAAGGACTGGTCAGCTTTGAGTCAGTATACTGTGAAAGTGGGGTATTCATGTTAAACTGCGACATAGTATCTCAGTGGGCTAACACTATCAAATCAGCATTAGTCCGGATTAGTACACGCAGTCACACACACACATTGCTATATAAGTGCAACAATCTTGAACGCGATGTTAAACCCCATTACACCTCACGGCCTTTCTCCCGTGGTACTGAGTTGCCTCCCCTTATTCTATTTCATACCCACATATTTCTCTGGTATGGCAATAGGTCAAAAGGGCCACAGACACCTCAGTCAAAATGGACACACCACAACTTACATTTGGTCCTTTTGACTATCCCCCTGTGGTACAGTTGTCTTTTAACACATACTGTATGTATATGTGGCCGATGTAGTTTTTGTATATATTTGTTTTAATTTCATTTTAGGTTTTTACGTATATTTATCATATATAACTAGTTGTCCGTTTCAGTCAGCTATAACAAAGTGTATCTGACCTGTCTTACCTACTAACTGCCCCATGGCCAGAAGCTTCATTTGCTGATTGGCCAAGCTAACACCTATTGTTAAACTGCATGCTTTGATTACACTGCATACTCTCTCAGCACATAAACTGACAGAACTGCTCAGACCAGCAAAGTGTAAAGAGAGAATATTAAATCAGGTGAGTTAAATAGTTATAATCTATATCTTGTGTTGTATTTAAATAATACAGTATGTTCAAAGTGTTATATGAAGTAAACTAAATGTATGTAATCTAACATAAATGTTGATTTATGTCTAAATATTTAAATCTGCATAGGATAAGCTAAACATCCATACTTTATCACTAAAATGTATTCTATCACTTCAATGAAATATGTGTGAAAGTGTTTTACCTCAAGAGTGTTTTAATAAGCTTTGTAATGTAGAGATTTAGATGTGATACAATGCAAATCATTGTAAAGAAAATGTGTGTATTACTTTGTTCAATATATTAAATGTTAAATAGTGTTTTAGTCTATGTATTGTTTATTCAGATAATCTATGGTGTTGCCATATAGGCAGTTGGGATCCACACCCTTGTATCACCCACAGGGTATGCATTGTGTTATTTATATTTGTCTAAGACTTACAATGTAATCTAATTGTGATAACCACATTTAATGTAATATCATATCATTAATTTCTGTCTTAAAGTATTGTATATGTTTATGCAGAATGTGTAAGCGTTATGCATTTATATTATGTATATATATTGTGTATATATTATAGTCAAATGAAAGTCAAGGAGTTATCTCCCTTGAATGTCGGTATTGTTGATCATGTACATACTGTATATGTTCTAGTATAATCGTTTAAGGTTCAGTCTATCTTGTGTTTAATGGATGACTAATATATGTAAATAATTACTTGTAATAAGCCTATGCTGTGTATCTAGCATTAATGATAATGTTTTACTTAGTATTTATTGTGTTATTATGTGTTTCAGGGTGTATGATATATAGATCCTTATCACACTCGACGCATCGCAATAAAGACCTCAACCCCGCAGCATGTGTTTGTTCGCTATAAAAAGACCTTCACTAAACTGCTACATATAGATAAGCAAAGTCATAAATCATCCACCAGGAATCTATGTACGTCCAAAGTAGGGCAGGGATAGGTAACTCGGGTCGGGTGGGTCCCGAGTAGGACTCGGGTACCCACAGGACTACCCGGACCCGTGGTTAGTCATGTGTTATATTGTTTAATTATAAAAACTCACTATGGCTCAGTGGTTACACTACATGTCGGCAATGTTCGTAATTCTTTCTGATAAGGCACACATTCCTTTAACTTGAATATGTTTCAGTAAAGATGAAGATTCGGTCAACTTCAGTTTATGCATGATCTAATCGTTTGATACATGTATCTAAATGCTTTTTGCCAGAGCTGAATCAGACATCTTGTTCCCAACACTTGAGACCTTCAGTGGGTACCCGGGTAGGGTCGGGTAATAAGGGGTCGGGTACCCAGGTATTAAATTTGGACTCGTCCCAGCCCTAGTCCAAAGCATTGCTGGGTAGGTATTTTCCCACTACAACTTCAATTATTTTACACCGGGTCACAACAAAAAACAAACATATGACATCAACAGACATTCCCTTTGACCAGCAACAACATACTAGTATTCATAAGTCATTCAAGCCTCTACTATACTATCAAAATGGCTGCTCTGATAAGCAATGATATTGATAAAAAAATGAAAAGAAAGTTAATTCAGTTTACAATGAAAAGAAGGTTAGCAATAATAAAAGCTAACATTTGAGGATATACACACACTCCGTCAAAGGGATTGCGACACTGTTGCGTAATGGACGAATAAACACGTGATTGGAGAGGATTTTCGGTTTCAAGATGAAACCGAATTGTTGACAATTCCTGTTTCAAACATTAATAAACGTGGTAGAATAACTTTAAGGGTTATATCTTAAAATGCACCCTTAAAGTGTTTGACATTCTCGCTTTGGGCAGACTGCTCTCTGGGACGATTTGCCATTATTCATGTTAATGATCACCTGATGATCGAATGCTTGTCAGATAGCCATGTAGAATTAACAGTGACACACAACAGCACTCGCAGCTGAGTGCAGAGCGATGACAGTTAATATTACCTCCTTTCGGACAAGATTCGAACACTCAATTTTTTCCTTCTTCAAAATCCCTTTCACAGGAAGGTAGAGGCATTATGTGACTAACTGTCCAATCGATTCGTTCCCGGAATTGATAACAAAACAAAGCTTTCGTACTTTCGTTTTGTAAGTCACATGTCAAAACATTGTATTTTCCTTGCATCGACAAGGATCGCTAAGGCTCCTTTGATAGCATACTGGATTTACTTAGCCGTGTTAGGAGCTAGTGTGCTGTACGGCAAAAGTTATCTCCCTTACAAAATACTGCTTCCATAACCCAACCTGCGTGTCAATATTTTTACCATATTCGGCTGTGTAGCTGATAACAGGATATCTCTTTTCCCGGTAGTTTCGCTAACTGTAGTACGTTTCATATCTCTGCATTTATTTGTTTGAGTAAAGACAAAGCTTCAGTCAATTTCAGTGTTTGCACGATCAGATCGTTCATCTAAATACTTTTTGCCAGGGCTACAGTAAAAAAGCATTTTGAACATTTTGTACCCAACCAGAGACCATATAATACATTATATAATGGCCCCCCATCTTTTTATGGGGGACCATTATATATATCTGAACATGGCCAACGTCTTGTCCCGGAAACGCAAACAATAAAAGTTTTAAGACGAAAAACAAAAGTCGAAACTCATCACTTGACGCGGCCCTTGCCCGGATACGGCACTGGATACTCAATAATAAAGTGTATTCTATAAAAATGTGTTCTTGTATTTATTATAGAAAATAGCATATAGCGAGAAGAAAATTACATACACCCCTATTCTTTTTAAATGGTGAATACGATTTCATTTAATTCGAACTGACGTACGTGGTGGTCGTAAGGAAGGTTTTGAAGGATACAAAGTAAATCTGCTTATGGAACAAAAATAATGTACATTAATAGTGTCATATTCTGTATACTTTTTCATAAGTAATATTGAAAGACGTGCGTTTTCAAAAGTTCATGCGTGGCCACATATGGTTCACTGAGTGCAAATCGTGCGGTACTATAGCGTCCGGTTGGTTTGTTGTTTAACGCCGCACTCAGCAATATTCCAGCTATATGACTGCGGTCTGTAAATAATCGAATCGTGTCCAGACAATGCAGTGATTGATATCATGAGCATCGATCCACACAATTGGGATCGATGACATGCTTCTACCAAGTCAGCGAGCCTGACCACCCGTTAGTCGCCTCTTACGACAAACATAGCTGCCTTTTACGGCAAGCATGGGTTGCTGAAGACCTATATTCTATCCCGAATCTATAGCGTCCGGGCAACGTCGGGGAGCATCTGGGGCGTCCCTCGGAAAGTTAAAACCCCGACCCTTTGCACTTTTGTGTTGTTGATCCAGACAGTTCGTTTTAATTAAACATTTCTGTCCATAACAATAATAATATATAATACTATGCAAGATCTACACTCCGATAAACTACTTACTGTTTAATTTAGATGTTAGTTTTGGAATAAAGATTTGTGTATATGGAAGGTATTTCATGACATTGTCGGAAAGAATCAAGTTATACGCAATTCATCAAATCACCAATATGTTATAATAACATTAATTAATGGTGTCGGTTAATCCAATTACTGCCACTACTCACTACTTATTATAGAGTATATACTAACCCTTGCGAACACAATCTGTAATCGCCTAAACTTGCGTTTTGTGTTGTTTTAAAGGTATTGAGAGTCTCATTACGGAAGTCAAAGCCGTGTTTTCCAATTTGCCTGAACTGACTGTTAATAAACCGAACAGCGTGACCACACGTTCTGTTGATGATGCTGCGTCAATTATTCAACAGTACGGTGGTAAGATGCCGGAGACTCCACTGAAGGTGACAGGAAACGGGAACTGTCTGTTCAACGCTGTCAGTATTGGTGTCTTTGGGTCAGAAATCAGAGCCACAGAACTGCGAGTGAGGACATGCATTAATAGACATGACACTGAATGCTCCATTTACTACACTGAATTATCAGACAACAGGCGTCTGACTCATTGTCAGTACAGACTACACTGGACTTAAACTGGAATGTGCAAAGCACAAGTCACGCTCATCTGCTTCGACTATGCACGCTGTGGCTTCTGTTGTTGGAAAAAAACATTATCTCGTGTTACCCCCCAATCAATGGCATGATGGATCAGTCTCTTGCTACATTTGAATCTTGCAGGACATCTTCTGCCAAGCCCATTAAAACATTTATGGAGAAGTACCACAACACCCCCTGCATCGGAACTCGACAGGACTTGGTTACCTAGCCAGTTTGTCCTGCTTAGTGAGCAAATTCAACCCCCAATGAAAAGAGGACATGGGCATGAGTTGGTGAGGTGAGGTGAAATGGGGTTTAACGTCGCGTCCAAGATTATTGCACTTATATAGCGACGTGCATGCACGTGTGTGTGTGTGTGTGTGTGTGTGTGTGTGTGTGTGGCTGCTTGTACTAGTCCGGACTGATGCCGATTTAAAGTGCTAGCTCACTGAGATACCATGCCGCAGTTTAACATAAATACCCCACTCAGACACAGTATACTGACTCCGAGCCGACCAGTCCTTGTTTTAGCCCCTTAATGCCGAACGCCAGACAGGGTAACAACAAGTACCAGCTTTTAACGTCTTTTGGTATGGCGTGGTCGGGGATCGAACCCCGGACCTTCCGCTCTCCGGGCGGACGCTCTACCACTAGACCACGGACTACAGTTTGACTACCAGATATTACCGTATGTATATGTCAATTATTTGTATGTATTGAACAGAAGGAAAAAGTTGTTCTTGGTTGGGTTGGTATAGCTCGTCCAAATACACTCGATTAATATGGAAGTGCTCGCCCAAACACACCCGTTGCGCATGTTCTTTTTTGGGGGAAATCTCGTGCGTGTCATGCTGATGTGACGGACCACTACGTTGAACGGGGTAACATGTGGAAGTTGATGTTTATTCGTTGTGTGACGAAGACGTCCTCAGAGCTCCAGTCAGGAGATTGCCTTTGCTAATACTAGAATTAACTTCCATTATCCACTTTATAACAGAAAGTGGTCAATTATTCACTTTAGATGAATATATAGACACATTTGATTTTGGGGCGATTTGGTTAGTGTGGCAATGAAGGTTTGTGTTTCTGTCTTCTGTTTCTGTTTAATTAAAATGTCCGACATGATATGTTTGACTTGTTGTTTACTTAACGGGGAATAACGTGCCTCATTTCCCATGTATTATATTTATTTTTTTTAACAAAAATATTTATATATGCATTCTTTGATCCAATAAATGTTATGTAACATCGGTTATTACAGGTAACAAGATAACATTAGTACTTTGGAGCTATTATTCCGAAAAGACCAATTAATAAATAGATAATAACAACTAATTAAGAGGCTTTGGAGAGGATCATCGATCGTAGTCATTTTAAACAACTTCAACAGGCAAGGAGTACTTTGCATATTGCGCTTGAAGAGATGACATGTGCATTGTAACATTTCAATGATATTATATTGTGTTAATAAATGGCATTCTGTATTATTCCTACATCTTTTTCTGATAGTATTATATTTCACTTATGTTCCAGATTAGCAACTGTCTCTAAGATCAAGGAGACGGTAGCAGTGGTGAAACAACACTCGATGTGACAGAGACCAGGGATGCTGTCATCACCATCTCCCCTAGACCATCAGTCAGTGAGGCCTCCTAAGGTTGCAAGTGTTGATTCTGATGTAAAGTTAAGCTCTTCTTTGAGATCAGAGGTGAGATGTGGTAAGTTATTTTTCGACCAATATATTTAATGGTCATTATCTCTTTGCAGATGAAGGGGCGGTCGGGTAGCCTAGTGGTTAAAAGCGTTCGCTCGTCACGCCGAAGACCCGGGTTCGATTCCCGACATGGGTACAATGTGTGAAGCCCATTTCTGGTGTCCCCCGCAGTGATATTGCTGGAATATTGCTAAAAGCGGCGTAAAACCATACTCACTCACTCACTCTTTGCAGATAAGGGGCGGTCGGGTAGCTTAGTGGTTAAAAGCGTTCGCTCGTCACGCCGAAGACCCTGGTTCGATTCCCGACATGGGTACAATGTGTGAAGCCCATTTCTGGTGTCCCCCGCCGTGATATTGCTGGAATATTGCTAAAAGCGGCGTAAAACCTCACTCACTCACTCTTTGCAGATGAAGCGTGAAGAACATTTCGAAAGGAGAAGAAGCCTCGCCACGACGACAAGACACAAACCGACTCAACACCGAAGAAAAACGTACGTCGCTCATAGACATGTATTAGCTGTATGTACAGTGAAACCATATATTTATGCTATATACCAATTGCTACATATCGGATACGTCTTGTCTTGTTTATCAATATACTGTTTGTTAGCAGACGAAACCAGAAACGTCTTCTCCGGTCTTCAGCGAAACCCCGATTGACATGGGTATCAGCCGAATAAAGGTACCATGATCTTATAAATTATTATGTCAAAAATGTTGATTAGAAAATGATATGTACGCCAATTAATTAATGTCTTACTATGAATTAGGTTGTCTCATCGACGTGTTTTGACAAACCATCGAATGACAGTACAACCTAAGATTATTCACTTTACATGACGTGAACCGTTCCGGTGCTGTCGCTCCTGCAGATGAAACGATGGACCTTGATCTGACGTCACTCGACGTACGCATCTCTTTCATCTAGTTTCTAAAAATATATAAGGAGAGAGAATTCGTCACGTTGCTTTTCAATACGAGTCTACGATAATGTCTCAGACAAGGTTGATATTTCACGTTCATATTAACACTAGTGACGAATTCTATTCATCATAACTTTTCTATTTCAATTTAATTCGCACCCATGAAGATCCGAGGTAGAATAGGTCTTCAGCAACCCATGCCTGCAGTAAAAGGCGACAATGCTTGTGGTAAGAGGCGACTAACGGGATCGGGTGGTCATGATGCATGTCATCGGTCCATTGCGTGGATCGATGCACATGATATTTATCACTGGATTGTCTGGTCCACTTACAGACCACCGTCATATAGCACGAATGTCATAAAACGGTGTCATGCCCACGGTCAACTCGTATATAACGCCACCTATTATTACATGACGTTATTCCGTTTGTTGGAGCTAATTTGCATAGTAATGTAAGGT